ATTCAGAAGGCTGGTGAAAGAAGCAGCGATGAGAATTAGGTCGGATTATTTTTCCTTAATTTTTTATTTTGTTAAAATAACAATTATATAAAATAATAAATATCGATATGGCATCGTCAAATGGTTGACTCTTTGCCACGCCATCAATTGACATCCAACTCAGCAATAGAACTGCCACGTCATAGTCAACTAACAATCGACTGGACGGAAAATTGACGATTTGACTATTAAATTATTTTTAAAAAGATTTTGTTATCATTTTGTTTAAAACGAAAGATTTGACTATTTTATTGAATTTACCCTAAAAACTAAAACTATGGGCCATGATAGTTAACATAGGCCGACCGGGCAGGCCCAATGTATGAAATTTTGCGCCTCTATTCCATTCCTTCTCCCTAAACCCCTCTTTCTCGTAAAACATGAATAACAGCAAAAACCCTGCCTGATCGCCGATCGGGATCCCTTTCCCTTCTCGCCTTCTCCAGCTTACTGAATTTCTTTTTGAAAGCTTTCGGGGAAGATATCAATCTCAACGGGAAATGGCCCTTCGCAGCAGATTTCCATCAATTCGATCCCTTCTCTCTTCCTTTGAGAGTTGTCAATCTTCGCCTTTGTGAGTAATCGTCGAGATTCCTGTTCTTGTGTTAGGCACTTTGGCTGTGCCCAGAAACTAGCTGAAAGTGAATTTTGTGCGTTTCCAAACTGGAAAGTCTTCACCTTTTCAACCTAGGATAGAAAGCCCGTTATGCTATATGGACTGAACCCTAGTAAATGAATAATGGTAGCTCTGTTATTTATTAATCGATGTGCGTGCTGTTATGCTAGCGAGAAGCTTGGTCGAATTCAAATTTCTTAGATTGTTTGAATTTCTGATGGGCGAGTAATGATCAGGAACTTACTCTGCATTCTTCTTTGCTTATTTGTATCTTCTTGTAGATTTCAGCAATCTGCGGATTAGTGAGGTATCGATAAAATATGTTCCCAGTTCAAGTTTTGCGGGTTTAGATGTAAAGGCTTCACCTTTTCGAGCTGGGATTTAAAACCCATCTAATTATGTTGGATTCGTTCCTAAATAGAATGATTTTATCCTATTTATGATGAACATATGAAGATTGTAGTGTCGTGCAGCTTGTTCATATAAATTATGTTAGCATTTATCCTCTACTGTTCGCAAAATGAACCAGATGTTATGTCTTCTTCCGCATTGCTTATTTTGTTGATTGTTGTGGAGGAAAACGGTTCATATCCTTTGATAGTCTTTCCATGTAGTAACTGACACTTTTGCTGTCTTGCATGCCCAGGCTTCCAAGCACAAGAAGCTACTATAGTGGTATCTCAAATGGTAAACGTTTTACATTTTTGCTGTTTAACTGCCATGCAATAACATTGAGCTGATTTTTTCCTCGTTTGTTTCTGACTGGTGTACTGCTTAATTAGGTCTTGGACTTGACTACTACAGATATTCACCATGCTTGTCTAAGGTGTGCAATGATGTTCTTTGGACTCGTACAAGTTCAGTGACACTGCGTTCTTCAATGGTTGCTATGATCATTCTAGCTGGTTCATCTGCTGAAAGAGTTCAACATATATCCCTTTAATTATAAGCTTGTTACGTTCTATTTTATTTCAGGCAACGGAGGTGCCAACTTATGTGAATGAGAGGAGGATGTCTACATCACAGGTTAAAGCACCACCGCAAGCACGACCCATGGTATTCCATTTTTGGCCTTTTCCATGCATTATAGTCCAATAATTTCATTAACTTAGTTTGATAAGCATTTGGTATTCATATTTCTAGATGAAGTACTCTTTTCAATTGTGTGGGACTTACACTTTGCAACAATTTTGTTGCAGGGAGCTCAAGTGTCCATGTCAAGTCCAGGGCTAATACATGAACCTTATGCACCACGTGAACGAATCTCGTTTTGGAATAGGTCAGTGATGATGGCTGCTATGGGCTTTGCTTAAACCCACGAAGTAAAGTGATTACGTCAAAGTTCAACACAGCTGTAATCCGTAGGCAGGAATGAAAAATGCTTCTTCAGTCCGTATCTCATTCCTGTTTATGTTTTCCATGTTTCAGATGGTTCACCAGAAGTGGTTGGAGAAGAACAAAAGAGGATATCATCGTAGAGGTTGCATAAGTCTTTGTTGATTCGTCTGTTCCACGAATGAAACAGTTGAACCAAGATACTTTTGTTGAGTGTTTTTTATTTCTTTTCTTTTGCAGATGAAAAGTGCCTATGCAATTTCTAAGTTGAGGAAATCAGGATACTCCAAAAACAAGTTCTACCAAGAGGCCATTCAGTTATACAAAGAAGTCAGTTTACATCCTATTGTCAAATACTTGTTATTAGCATGAGTTTCAATTTAATGGTGTTATTGTTCGTGTTTCCTGTTTCTTCCTCAGATAAACATTCTGCTGGCGCATGGCGATAAAACCACAATTAGGAAAGCAGTTACAGAGAAAATGTACTCGGTAGGCTGTTTTGCTCTACAATCTTATTAATAGAGCATAACTATTCTTTTCTCCCCCATCCTGTCTCTCTCAATGTGTGAAATCCCATGTGTTTCTATTGTTTTTCACTTCCACTCACTTGCAGGAACTTAAAAATGAGATTAAGAACAGAGAATCACGGTGGAGTAGAATATACTGGGAAATGGTTGAACCAGTTGTCAAGATACGAACTTTGAGAGCCCGACTGGCACGTATTTGCTCTCGACTTATATTAAAAAGCTTACATACACCATTGCCAGTTAATTTGGAGTTGTAGCTTAGTGTCACACAGCTTTTTCATTGTATTCCAGCAGTTATTTCTCCTTTCTTTTGTGCTAACCCAACACTTGCATTTCTGCTTGTTTGATGGCAGATTGGTGTTGATAGAAATGATCTCAATAAAGCGTTCATACAACTAACGCTTGAGTTCTTGACCAAACAGGTAAAGACTGCCCTTGTAAAACGCTTTGTTTTCCTTCGGCGAATGGTCTTTGCCTACAGGCCTCTCCAAGTTTCACCTGACTGGAACTATGTCGTAGTATAATAATGCGTTTTACAGGGTTCCATAACATAATTCAGTTAGATAGAGGATGCTTGAAATGCTCCATAAAGATAAACGAGATATTCCTTCAAGTCTAAAAAGACTATATTGCTCTGTGTTTCTGAGAACTTGTGGTTCAGTTATCTTCTACTTACCCCTTTGCAGAAGTTTGAGGCTTATGATTCAAAAGGTACTGTCGTAGCTGGTAACAAGAACAAGGAGGTATAGTGCATTCGTATTCTGTCCCAAGAATAAATAATTATCAGTTCTCCCATAGATTATTTGGCCTTGTTGCAACTTTTTTCCATTAATCACTCATACTTGAACTTTCTAGGTCCTTGTCCGTGACATCTGGGTATTCGAGAAATCTCTTTTCCATGCAGATGCTTTCTGGCGGCTCTGCGGTCGAATTTCTCTGAAGTAGTACCCTAGCATCCACGTGAAGGGTCCAAGTATACCAGTAGGATCCTACTAGCAAAGTCTGAGACTTGAATTCAACATCAGAAACAATGAGATTCTGGTACTGTCTTCATATGCAGCTGCTGCACTTTTCAAATGAGCTTGTAGAGTTACCTTGTCAAATTTTGGCTTTGAGGGACCAGAGTTAATGGTCAGTAGAGTGAGTAGAAATAATGAAGAACATGAACTAGGCAACTGTTATTAGATGATCATATCTCGAAAACTCAAGATCTTTACTGTTTGATGTCAAAACAAGCTTGACATGTTTTTTATCGATCCGATTGGATTCGGGATTTGGTGATAAGATAAATGCTGGCCAACACAGCAATCCATGAGTTGGCCAACACTCAACCTTTTTGCTTTAGGGACAAGAGAATCCGCTTCATTAGAGTTAACCATGGAGGTTTATGTTCTCAGTTCTCACCGCTTCCAAGCATAGAAAAGAAAAGTGAATCCTTCTTCCCCTGCTCCATTATATCCCATCTTCCCAAAACCCATTTAAAGAAAACAGGTTCCAACAAGATGGATCAAAGAGAACACCAATATCTGAATTCTGAAGGCCCTCAGTATATGCATCTGGCTCTACAACTTCATCTTGAGAACTTTATGCTTCTTTTAGAAGTGATCATAAACAAGACGGCGAAGAGGCCTCTCAAGCTCATTGCGGTGAAGAGACGAGTGATGCATCAGTTAGTTTTGAGATGACAATGTCAAAAGATCATGAAGCTAGGTCCATAGGAGGAACTTCTTTGCGTTGTTTTGCTTGTCGTTGAAGCAAAACAACGAAAGAAAGTAGCGAGCATAAATGACAGGGTTGAGGAGATAGATGTGGGTAGAAAGAAGAAGATTACAAGAAGGGATCGTGTGGAAAATTGGCTTCATGCGAGAGGCAAGGAGATGATGAAAAGCCTTTGAGATTAATTCTCAAAGTTGGTTCCAAGAACTTGGGAGGAAAATCAAGTTCCTTTGCCAGTTATTCATTCTAGAATATGGTATTTACTACTTAGTGCGGAGCGCTACACTGATGGACGACCTACAGCTCTCTTTCACTTTGGTGTTGGCGCCGACATTCTTTCTCTCAATCCATCTCTCCTACGCTCAATATTCTTTCTCTGTCCTAGTGTTTGCCGGCGACGGCAGAGCTGTGCTCTTTGCCAAAGTGGTCGAGTATGACCAAGGTTGTCAACCCGTGGGTCGACCCGGACCCGAACGAGCTAGTGGGTCAAGGGTTAATGGGTCACCCGTTTTAGCCCGGTTTAGCCCGTATCAACCCGGATATATGAGAAAAGTTATTATTTGTCATGCATAAATTTATTATATATCAAATTTCAGATGAATAATAATATATAACATATTAACATTACACCAAAATAATAATATTCTAATGGAGAATTGTGAATAATTAATTGACTTATATACACTAGCAAAATAAAATAATTTATTAATTAAACAACAAAAAGGAGGGAAAATATTGTAGTTATTTAATAATCTAATGATTGAAATGTAATGTAATTTATGAACAAGCACGCAAATTTAATATTAACCCAACAAGTACCATATACTAATTTACCATATAATTGAAAACAAGAAACCCTAGAACTACCTCCGCTCAACAAAAGTTACCAAAAAATCCATCTACTTTCCTCCGCCGTAAAAGCTCTCCCCTGCTCCCTAATTTTCTTCACTTAAATTCCCCCCAAAAAGCCAAAACTGCATCCGAAAGCCGATCATCGATCTCCCCGCCGCCGATCTTCTTCATCTGAAGCCCCCTAGCGACTCCCACGGCGGCGAGAAAAACCACATCGTTTCACTGCACCCCAGTCATAAGTCCCGTTGCCTTCTATCGTCGGCCACCACTCCCGAGTCCTCCACGCGATTCTCCGGTTTGCTCAAGTGCGGATATGCGGAGATTTCCTTCAACGCAAACGACGCCATCGAAGCTCTAACCCGGTATTCATTTCGGCCGGGCCAACCACCCGGGTCTTCTGGGTTTTGACCGGTTTGAAACGGGTTTGACCATTCCGGGCTATCCCTTAAACGGGCGTATATAGCCCGTTTTCTCCTCCGGGTCCGGGTTAACAACCTTTGGTATGACCCAGTTGGATTGCCGGTCCAGGTTCAACCGACCGGGTCCAAACGGGTTAACAAGCAACGTACCAAATTTCCTTTTTCCCTCCTTGATAATATCCCAAAGTCGTACTTCTCATTGTTAGTGAGTCTCTTAGGAGAATCACTTCAGTCTTTTCCAAGTCCCACAACGAAAAAGCCACCAAAGAAAGCAATAGGAATCCGCGATTATTATTATGGGTGTTGGCTGCTCTTCTTCTCTCCCTCCCACTGTTAATAATCCCCATTGCTCAATCACTTTCCCTCATACATCAGCACATACGAACCCAACCTCGAATCACCTCCCAATAAATTGGCTCGCCAGAGCTCATCTCCAGAAACCCACAAAATCCCCCATATCCAAACGCCTTTTCACGCTCGATTCTGCTCGAAAGACTCCGACTTTGAAGTGCGGAAGAACTGCCCAGATGGAGATTGAAGGTGGAAGTGATTCTAAACCCATATTGGATTTGCACAGTCTAGATGACAATTTGGTCCAAAAGATGGTCTACGATGCCCTTGTTTGGAGCTCTCTCCATGGCCTTGTTGTTGGTGACAGAAATGTCCAGGTTCCGATCTTATAACGAATTCAAGTTTATTTTGAGCTTGTTTTTCTCTTTTGGCTGTTAATTTTTGGACTGAAAAAGCTTAGTTTGACGAATGAGTTGAATGTAGTGTAGCTCTCTCAGAAAATTTGTCAACGCATATTGCCAGCTTTTGAATGGGTTAAAGTTTTGACTTTTTGGTGATTGGGTTATTGTTGATTGTACAGAGATCAGGAACGGTACCTGGAGTTGGGATGGTGCACGCTCCTTTTGCATTGTTGCCAACAGTATTCCCAGAAAATCAATGGAAGTTAGCGTGTGAAGTGGCACCGATTTTCAATGAACTTGTTGATCGTGTGAGTTTGGATGGGAAGTTCTTGCAGGAGTCATTATCCAGGTGCGCTCTTTCTTACCATTGCTTTACTGATCCTGTTTTCTTGATAGTGTAGCTAAAAAGAGTGAATTTTCTATGGTCGAGATACGTGGGATTGATGATGACTCTTCGGTTACTCTTGTTGTAGAACTAAGAAAGTTGATGCTTTTACTTCAAGGCTTCTAGACATTCATTCAAAGATGCTAGAAATTAACAAGAAAGAGGCAAGTGAAGTTTGTTTGAAAATTATTGAATTGAATTTATGCATTTTGAAGTTTCTTTGAACTGTTCCCCCATTTCCAAGTTGGTGAGGAGATGCTGATATGAATGCTTGGTATGCCAGGAGATACGATTGGGTTTACACCGTTCGGATTACATGCTTGATGAAAAAACTAAGCTTCTGCTTCAAATAGAACTAAACACAATCTCTACATCATTCCCCGGTCTCGGTTCTGTGGTTAGTGAGCTTCACAGGTCAGTTTACACTTACGTTTTTTATTTTTGATTTTCATAACGAGTTACTTTATGCTTGGATGCTCTTTTCTTCACTGAAGTTGTGTTCAGTTTCATTGAAAGCCTGCACCAAAGGGTCACAGTGGTACTTATTTTTCAGGAGCTTGCTGAAGAATTATGGGGAGCACCTTGGATGTGATGTTAACTGTACACCATCTAATGACGCTGCTAATCGGTTCTCAGAGGCCCTAGCCAAAGCTTGGATTGAATATAATAACCCTAAGTTAGATCTGATTCTCACAAACTTAATTTTGTGTCATTGGTGTTTGTGGATGAAGCTTTGTTTAAAGTAACTGTGGTGAATATTTCTATGACAGGGCTGTAATCATGGTTGTTGTTCAACCTGAAGAGCGCAACATGTATGACCAACATTGGCTCTCTTTCAACCTCAAGGAAAGATATCCTTTTATTCTGTTCATGACACAACCATTAACTCTGAAGAACTTTAGAATTCTGATAATTCTTTGTTGAGTAAAATGTGGTTTCTTGGAGACCATATCTTGAATTTCTTCCTTAACCTTTTAACACACATAACGTTACAATGATCCGGAAGACAATGGCAGAAATTGATAAAGAAGGGGAAATTCAGCCTGATGGAACACTTCTTGTGTATGTTACTGTCTTTACATGCAAATTTATTATTCTGAAGTTTTTTGTTTCTACCCTCTGTTGATCCTGTTTTTTAAGTGGTGGTATCTTATGTCTAGAAAATGTGTAAATGCAGGGGTGGCCATGCGATAGCCGTCATATACTTTAGAGCTGGCTATGCACCAACTGATTATCCTTCAGAAGCAGTAAGCATTATTTTTTAGTTTGTTTATGTGATGGAATTAAGTGTTTGAATATGAGGAATGCTCTCGATGGAGGATAGGCAGAGGGGTCTGCACACGCTGATCTTGAATGGGAGAACTGATGAGGCAGATAGATAAAGTTCCATGATATTTAGCCTTAAATTATTTGCCATAATTACGTTGTATCCTTAGTGGTAGGTTGTAACTCTGAATAGTTAAAAGGAGAATTGATATGCTCATATTGACGTAAAGTATTTTCTCAAGCTTTAGGTTCGCACATGAGCTACGCTAAATCAGTTTGACTGTTGGATAAGCTTTCTGTTTGTAATGTTGTCTTATTAACTTATTTGTAGGAATGGAGAGCTAGACTACTGATGGAGCATTCATCAGCCATTAAGTGTCCTTCCATATCTTATCATTTAACAGGAACCAAGAAGATACAGCAAGAACTTGCAAAACCTAACGTGCTTGAGAAGTAAACTCTCTCTTTACATGCTGAGAACCTCCATCTCATTCCTCCTCTGATGTTTTCATTTTTTTTCTGCACAGATTTATTGATAACAAGGAGGACATTGCCAAGCTAAGAAAATGCTTTGCTGGACTCTGGAGTCTAGATGATGCAGATATTGTTGACACGGCAATTGAAAAGCCACATCTATTCGTGATGAAGCCCCAAAGAGAAGGGGGAGGTGAATTAACTTTCTGGATTAATCGTCATCCCTTGCCTCTTTCGTTTGTATTGGCTTTTCATATGCTTACAGGTTTGTTTTACTGTTTACAGGGAACAATATCTATGGTGATGATGTGAGGGAAGCCCTTCTTAGACTTCGGAAAGATGGGAAAGAACAGAATGCTGCCTACATCCTCATGCAGAGAATCTTTCCTACAGATTCTGCCACGTTTTTGGTGCGTGATGGAAGCTGTCATAAAGATCATGCTGTATCAGAGCTTGGAATCTATGGCGCTTATCTGAGGTATGTTAATCTTCAACCGAGAATGAATGTCCAGCTCTAAAACAAAATGCTGGATATCCTAATTGTGGTGTTGCAGGAACAAGGATAAGGTTATTGTAAATGAGAGAAGCGGTTACTTGATGAGGACAAAGGTGTCGTCATCGAACGAAGGAGGAGTTGCAGCTGGATTTGCAGTCCTGGACAGTTTATACTTAACCTAAAATATGAAAGCATCTCTCTGTTCTTGACAAGCTACAAATTCACTTACTTGACCCCTCAAGATTGCATACTTCAAAGCTCTTCAGTGGAGCGTGGAATATAACATTGTCGAAGTAGATGCATGTTTTGTTCTATATATTTGGAGAGGAATGTTCGTCTGAAGTGAATTACTTGCATTAGCTCACCATTTGGATATAATTTATTTATATATTACAATCCAGTCATCCATCATGGCCTTTATGTTCCTCCAGGGGATTCCTCATTTTTTTTTTTTTTTAATAAATCCTATGAAGTTTTACATGTAATCTATGAGAATATATTGAGTAACCTTGCATCAGGAATTTCCCACTTTTGTATTTCACTATATATTCGAGAATATATTGAGTAACCTTGATTCACTGCCGGGAGTCTTTTCCTTTCATATGAAAAAGAAACAGAACGAAAAGGGTATTCACTATCACTTCATGCGGAAAAGTGAGAAAGTTTGAATCTATCCATTGGTCTCTACGAAATCCTTTACAATGGAGCCTGCCCAGTGAAACACAATTCTATTCAATCTTTCACCTACGAGTAACTCTGCGAACAAACATCTTAGTTTTGATCACTGCACTCTTTTCTTGCCACTGTCGCTCCATCCGAACTCTCGAGCTCGTTGCTCCCACAGAGCTGTGACCTTCAGTTCTTCCCTTAGTTCAGCCTCGGCTCGCTCTCTAGCATCTTCACATGTCTCCACTTGTGCAATGCATTTCTCTGCTTCCCTCTTGTAATGAGTGTAAACAATTCCACTCTCTGTGAGTAGAGATTTGCTTCGCTGCAGTGACTCATTAGCTACTAGCTTCTGCAATACAATTTCTTCAGATAGCAAGGCTAATCTATCCTTCTCCATCTCTTCTTTGATCTCCGGATCGCTCGAACTGCAATCTGCAGCAGACGAGGATCAAGGCAGTTAGGAGAACAAAAACAACATTGACTAAACCAATCTCCAAGAGCATCTAATGGAAGTTCACTACTGATTATCCTTCAAACTCAGGTTTCCATTCCTACTCTCCTTTCAAACTCCAGTGCATACAAAAACTATTTCAAGGAATCCAGCAGAAAAGTGAGAAAGTTTGAATCTATCTACTTCATGCAGAAAAATGAGAAAGTTTGAATCTATCCATTGGTCTCTACGAAATCCTTTACAATGGAGCCTGCCCAGTAAAACACAATTCTATTCAATCTTTCACCTACGAGTAACTCTGCGAACAAACATCTTAGTTTTGATCACTGCACTCTTTTCTTGCCACTGTCGCTCCATCCGAACTCTCGAGCTCGTTGCTCCCACAAAGCTGTGACCTTCAGTTCTTCCCTTAGTTCAGCCTCGGCTCGCTCTCTAGCATCTTCACATGTCTCCACTTGTGCAATGCATTTCTCTGCTTCCCTCTTGTAATGAGTGTAAACAATTCCACTCTCTGTGAGTAGAGATTTGCTTCTCTGCAGTGACTCATTAGCTACTAGCTTCTGCAATACAATTTCTTCAGATAGCAAAGCTAATCTATCCTTCTCCATCTCTTCTTTGATCTCCGGATCGCTCGAACTGCAATCTGCAGCAGACGAGGATCAAGGCAGTTAGGAGAACAAAAACAACATTGACTAAACCAATCTCCAAGAGCCAAGATGAAAATGTTACATTGCATTTTGCAGGCATAAGGGCATCTAATGGAAGTTCACTACTGATTATCCTTCCAACTCAGGTTTCCATTCCTACCCTCCTTTCAAAGTCCAGTGCATACAAAAACTATTTCAAGGAATCCAGCAGAAAATGGGCTAAAGGAACAGATGATGTATCGGAATATACTAACCTGCATATGAGCTGTTGATAGAGTCTGCAAAAAGAAAAAGAAAAAAGTGACATCACCACCACAGATTAGGAGCAGTTGAGTAACTAAAATCAGGGAGCACGAATTCACAGACGTGATACCCCTTTCTGAGCCAATCACTCTATATAAATGGAGTCACCTATGCTTCAAGTTCAAGCTCTAAATGGAAAGCGATCAACCAGGCAAGATTAATAATTAAAGCAAGTATCCCGGATTAGAAGATCTCCCTCACCTGCCGGCAAGTCAAAAACCGCAGAATCGTCCGCGCAATCGCAGTCACATTGACAGGAGGGAGAAGAAGAAACTTGAGAACTAGAATTCCCTCGATTACACATTAAAATATACACAGCCAAGAACACAGTCGTCAAAATCAAGCTCACTCTCACTGCCCCACTGCTCCGAGAACTTGCATAGTGCTCCGAAGGATGCGCCATGGCCAAAGAGAACAAATTTCCAGAACCCAATTCTTTATTCTGCAGAAGTAAGAACTACCCAGTTCAAGATCCTGGCTAACGGCACGAAATTTTGGGAGTATCTAACTACGGAGATACCACTGAGAGGGTACTCATTTTCAAGATCTGTCAAACAGCAACTGGAATTTGACTGCAACCCATAACCATACGCTTTCAAACAAGAATGTAGGGTAAGAAATGGAAAATAGAAATGTTTTAGTAAGTGTCAAAGAGGAATGAAGGGTCCTTTCTTTCACCGTACTACAAAAGAGAAGGTAAAAGAAGAATAAAGCTTTGAGTTGTTTGAGGAAATTGACGAGTGCAGCAGCAGCAGGATCAGGAAGTATACTCAGATCCCTATAAAAGTTGAGAAGAGATGAAACAGATTTATACGATTTTGGGGAATTGTGAGATTTTAGAGATTAGTGAGAGACTGAAGATTGTTGTGGGTTCCGTTAAAGTTAAATATTAATCCAAAAATGTTTTGGATTAATCATTAGGTTTTACTCCTTTCTTTTTCTGTTTGGGGTTTCTTCCTTTCTTTCTTTTCATATTCAATGGGCGGGCCAAATGGAGGAACGGCTAGAAGTAGTTATCTGTTGGAATGGAGCCAGCCTGGCAAGATATAAAACCCATGCCACTGTAAAACATTTCATTTATTATCTCATCTCTGTTGAAGTTAAAAAGGTAGGGAAAAAAAATAACTCTCAAAAAGTGGAAAATATCTCCAAAACGGAGTGATTTTCTCTGGTTTGTTCATTTTCTGCAAATTCATTGCTTGCAAGCAACTTCCAAAGCATTTTGGGCCTATTTGGGCAAGCTGAAGAGTAACAATCTTTCCATCTTCCCAAAAGGGGTTTTGCCTAATGCACCATCTTTTCCTTCACTGCCCTGCAAGGATGTCAACCCGCGGGTCGACCGCAAGTATCCGTCGGGTCCACCGCTACAAGGTATCGGGTTGGAGGTCAAATTGTGTCATTTTTTTCTTTGGTTTGCGAAATGCGTCTATTTTCCGATTTTTCTTTTCGCCTAACTCAATCTTTGGAATCCTAAGTTGAACATTTGAACATTGATGTTATATAAATGTGTGGAATTTTCACTATATGTTGGATCTAAGTACAACATGTTACTTTGGTGTAATATTATATGTTATTACTCATATGTTAGATGAGATTTGATATAATTTATCATGATAAGTACAATATAATGACTCTTTCCATATTTCCGGGTTAAAACGGGCTAAAACGGGTGGGCCATTAACCCTTGACCCACTAGCTCAATCGGGTCCGTGTCAACCCGCGGGCTGACAACCTTGCTGCCCTGACCTACAGGATAAAAAAAGCAATCCACCTCCCACAAGGATTCAAGACTTGGTTGCCTATTGACATGGACATCTATTATGATGAGTAAAAAGCAATCAATTTTCATTTTACAAATGCAATTCTAAATCCAATAACATAGAAATCGGACACTGTAAAAGGCCCTGCTATTACATTTGATGATCTTTCTTCTACCAACTACCCATAGACAAAGCATAGTATGTGCACACACAAACAATGAGAAGGAACCTACATTCTGTAAAGAATCATGGGTTTCTATTCTTCTGAATTTATAGACATGGGACTCGACTCCTGAGGAATTTCATAGCATTCATCATTTTCCTTGCTCAACTCTTCATGTGGAGGGTCAAAGAACTCATCTAGGAACCAGGGGCAGTTCTCGTTCCAACCGGCCTTACTAGCTGTGGCACGGCACTTTTGGTCGGCGATCATGGCCTCTGAGAGCCCCCACTCTCGGAGCTCTTCGTCCGTGATAGAACTCGAGTAGAGCTCTACCGGTGTTTAGGGATTTGGGATCAATTAGGGATTGATCCGAGGTTTCAGAAAGAACTAAGGGAAAGGGAATTGGGATTTGTGAAAATGAAAGAGGGAGGGAGAATGGCGGCGGTCGCCAGCCGAGGGGAAAGGAAGAGGGGAGGGAGCAAGAAGCTGCTGTGCGCAGCAGAGAGGGAAGAGAGGGAGGTGGGGTCGGCTGCCAAGAGAGAAGGGAAATTAGGCTTCTTGATTAATCACTTCTTAACCCTAATTCTAGTTACAATAGTTTATATAGAAAATAACTAATTTCCTACTACTACCCAATCTATTAATTATTCCCGAATAGCCCTCATAATCCGAATAATAATAAACCGACAATTAACCAAGTACTAAAAATATAAGTTTCTATCATCCCCGCTTCCTTCGAAAATCAACCTTGTCCCCAAGGTTGATCCTCTAGCTCACTAGGTCTCCTCTTCATCATTCCCAGCATCCTCAGCATAGTCCTCTGCGTCATCCTCCCATCGTCCCACCAGCATCATCAAGTCTTCCTTGGGGCACTGATGCCCAATGGTGAATCGGCCATCACACTTGAAGCACTTGCCTTCACGCCTCTTCTGATCAATCTCAGCCGGTGACAGCCGCGCGAAGCCCTTAGGTATGGCCCGCGGCCCCATCCTGGCTACCGGAGCGGGGCCTCCACTGCCCGTGTTAGTCCCGGTCAGCCCTGCCCCCGCCGCCCCTCCTGCGCCTCCACTACTCCCACTGCTCGCCTTCGGAAATCGGCCAATGGCGCCCCTCCAACTAGCGAGCTCTTCCTCCTTATGACCTGCAAGACGAAAAGCCGCCTTTAGAGAGTCAGGCTCGAAAACCCGGACTGCCGCTGCTATCTCGGGCTTGAGACCCGCCATGCACAGCCCCACCAGGGTGTCCTCTGGGACTCCCTTACACTGGTTTCCTAACTTGAAAAACTCTGCCCGGTATTCAGCCACCGTGCCGGTCTGCTTCAGTTTTGCCAACTGCTCGGGCGCCCACCCTTCTGACTTTCCGAACTGATAACGGAGCTCTTCCTGAAACATAGGCCAGGTGATCGGGGTGGCTGCAGCGGCATAAGACCGTTCCATCCACTCCCACCACTGGAGCGCATCTCCCTCCAGATAAAACGACGCCAGATAGGCCTTTCTCTCCTCCGGGACCGGATGATTTCTAAACCATCTCTCTGCTGCATACAACCAAAGACCTGCATCCTCTTGCCCATTGAATTTGGGAAACTCAATGGTCGGAGGCTTAGCTCGAAAAACCACTCCATCCATTCCTTCATAATTCATGTAGTGGGGCCCATACCTGTCAATTCCTGGAGTTCTCCACGGCTGCCCGAAAGAAGAGCCCGGCATCCGATTCGGATTCTCATAGCCATAGGCACCCGGATAGTTGCCCTGCAGGTTTGGGTACCCTCCTGGCCCGTGAGGCGCCCCGTACGGAATCTCCCAGCTGGCTGGTTCCTGATAGTCCACCCTCCTGTACTGCTGGGCCGTCGGACTCGGCCGATGCCCGGTTCGACCCACTTCCGGACGACCCGGCCCGGTCCGGCCCGGCCCGGTTCGGCTCCCCTCGGTTCGGTCAGCGTCGGTCCGACCGATTCCGGCTCGACCAGACCCGGTCCGGCCCCCTTCGGTCCGCCCCATTGGGCCCGCCCCTGATCGCCCGCCCGGTTCTGTGGGCCCCCTCGGCCCATCCGGCCCCCTCGGCCCATCCGACCCCCTCTGATCCATCTCCGGTTCAACCCACTTGGCCTGTCGATCTGTCAGGCTAAGTTCGTCAAACTCGGGCCCATCCTCCAGATCCAACCACCCCAATCCGTTATGGACCTTCGTGTACTGGCCCATCAGCTCCGGTCCATTGTTCGGCGGAGGCCCATCTACATCATACCCGGCCATCTTGGCCTTTCCCTTCCGGGCCGCAATCTCTTGGGCCGTAGGCGTCGGTAGCAGACCCGGGCCCACGCCTAGCCCTACCTGCACTGGGCCTGTCCCCGCTCCACCTCCGCCGGTTCCCGGCCCGCCCTCGGCCGTCGCCCGCCCGCCCGGCGCTGCCCCCGCCTTCTCGAGCCCCGGCGCCGCCACTCCTCCTTCGGCGGCCGTGCCGCCTCCACCTGCCGGGGCCGCCGCCGTCGAGCCCTCGCCGCCGGCTCCGCCTGCCCCGTCCCCCGCCGACGAGCCCGCGCCCCCAGTGGCGCCGCCGCCGCCCCCTCCTGCTCGCCCTAGGACCTCAGCCACCATCGCCTTCAGCTCCCCAATGGCGAGCCACACCCTCTGCGACTCCGCCTCCCGGGCTCGCGCGTCCGCCTCCCGAGCCCGCGCTTCCACCTCCCGGGCTCGTTCACCCTTCAGCCGGGACCGGCGCTCCTGCTCCATGGCCTCCGCCATTTTGGTCATCTCGGCGCGGAGCTCTTCTCCCAGCGTCTCGTCCACCATCTCCCCATCCCGCTGAACCGGGACCTCATGACCGCCCTCACCCGCCATTGCCGCGGTCGTGGCTTGTCCTTGCGCCGCCGCCTTGGCGGCCTTCTCAGCTGCTTGCATCGATTTCGTCGACACCATCGCGTTCGTCGTTATCGGCTTGCTCCGGAACTCAAGAAAGAACCGGGCTCTGATACCAAATGATAGAACTCGAGTAGAGCTCTACCGGTGTTTAGGGATTTGGGATCAATTAGGGATTGATCCGAGGTTTCAGAAAGAACTAAGGGAAAGGGAATTGGGATTTGTGAAAATGAAAGAGGGAGGGAGAATGGCGGCGGTCGCCAGCCGAGGGGAAAGGAAGAGGGGAGGGAGCAAGAAGCTGCTGTGCGCAGCAGAGAGGGAAGAGAGGGAGGTGGGGTCGGCTGCCAAGAGAGAAGGGAAATTAGGCTTCTTGATTAATCACTTCTTAACCCTAATTCTAGTTACAATAGTTTATATAGAAAATAACTAATTTCCTACTACTACCCAATCTATTAATTATTCCCGAATAGCCCTCATAATCCGAATAATAATAAACCGACAATTAACCAAGTACTAAAAATATAAGTTTCTATCAGTCCGTGTGGTGGATCGCCAGGCTGTACTCTCCCCCAGCTCCCAACTGCATTACTCTGAACTCGCAGTTCTCAGGGTTGTTTAGTAGTTCGAATTGCTCGACCGTCCACTTGAACCACTTCATGAGGAATACCCGACATGTTAGTCCATGGGTTATGATCACGAGGTTTAGGTCGTTGGATGGGTCCTTGTGTAGCCTGCTCATGTCTATGTCTCTCCATAGTGACTCCAGAAAATCTGACAAAAACACAGTAGTGGATTTCTGTTACAATGGTATCAAAGTAAATGGTTGGTACAGAGCGAACATACATAATAAGTTAAGACTTCAGGCAGAGAAATTGTGCATCCATCTCTTAAACAAATACTTCACCTAGAGGTTAAGCTAACAGTATGGTTTGAAGTTTAACTAGCACAAATGCTGGGTGACCACCATAGTTGTTCTAAAGAATACGGAAGAGGAAGAGAAGACAAAGATGCTACTGCCTTCACTCCTTAGAGATATCCACATCTGGAAAAGAAGGACTCTCTATATTCGAGATAAAAGATAAAGGCTGAATGAAAACAACTTTCAATAATTTTCGGAGATTGATATGACTGGTCAATAAGGAAAATCACTAATTCATGGCTGCAGCATGTAACTGATTTATTTGATGAACAATATCACTTGTTGAGGAAGTTGGACTCCTAGACACACCTCATCTAAAAATACCCAGAGACCAGTAAAGCAAACACTAAGCCTCCAGTCGGAAATTGAGAAGAACAAGCTTTAAAGCAAATGACCCTTTTTGTCCTTGTAATAAACCAAGACTCACCACTAAAAGCCATAACAAGAATAAGTGGAAAAGCAACACCTTTTACCATTACAATAGAACCAACACACAAAATACTAAAAGCTTGGCCAACCACAACATATAAGATAGAAACTGCACTCGTCAAGTTCTTCGTTCATATTCCCATCAGCAACATTACTCCTCGAAGTAAACTTTACCACTAGCATTTCTAAGTTCTAACTATCTTACTAGTCCTTCCTTTCAGTTTGTTCATCAGCTATCAAGATCAAGCAGGATCAGTGATTCAGTTACTGCGCTAATAAACTCAACAGCAATGCATCCACAAGTTAAAGATCAAAACCCAAGCTCAATTTCCATCTAATCAAACAAGTAACCAAGCTAGTGTGCAATTCCCATTCTACACTTGGCACCAACAATGCAATGAAAAAGACCATTACCATTGATAAAAGTAAATGTAGAAAACATAATTACCAATTTTACAAAGGATAAAAAGGCAGCAACTTTAAGCAGAAGAGAAAAGAAACATACTGGAAACGCGATCGAAGACATCAGCAGCAGATTCCCCTTCTGGGAAACGGAAGAAGAACCTCCCAAACCTCTCCCTGGACTCTTTGATAACCTTCATCCTCTCCGCGACCTGGAAATTCCCGAAATCCTGTTCACGAACCCGACACTCTTCTCTAACCCCAATGATCCGCTTCCTGTCGAAGGCTTTGCCGATCTCCCGCAGCGTGGATCGAGTGCGGTCGTACGGGGAGACGTAGAAGTACACCCGCCAAGTGTTTGTTGAATTGCCACAGTCGGAGGAGATCAGGTCCCGCAGCTGGGCGCCCGTCTCCCGTGCCTGGGCCCGACCCGCTTCGGTGAGCGGGATCTTGTGGTCCGGTATGTGGGTGTACGCCGCAGTGTCCAGGTTCCCCTGAGACTCGCCGTGGCGGACCAGGATTATCCGCTTCGGCATGTGGATGTGGTGGTGGTAATGGTGGTGACGGTGATCGTCGTCGCCGTTCTGATTAAGATCCACCATTTTCTTTCCACGCCGCCGTCGCCGCAGTCTTCGGTTTTTTATATGTGAATTTGTTTTTTGCTTTGTTTAGCAGCCGTCGATGATTTGGGGTTCATTTTAATTAACCCGACTGCGAAGCTGGTTTTATATGTGGAGGAGCGGTGGCGAGTGGCGACGATAGACCGTTGGGATTGGGGAATTTTATATTTTCACATTTCAGTTTTGACTCTTGACATTTCTCATTTTCAAGTTTTTTATAGTTATTTATCCATTTCCTACACTATTTTATTAATTTTGTGCTCAACTCGAATAATCTGTCAAATTAAATTGTTATTTTGAAAATATGCGGATGAATATGCAAGTGCAACTAGAGTAGTATGATAAAAAATTTCGACTTAGATTTGTGTGATCTGATATGTTTGGGATAGGTAATACTTGATTCGTAGATCGTAGTAGCGTGAGACGAATTATGGAGGTTATTTTTGACCCGTCACGTTTCTTTCTATTATGTTATGTATCAATATCTATTTGTATATTCTTATTTTCACCTTTTAAAATAATATTTTCATCCCAAAGAAATTTTAAAACCCTAACTATGAACTATTCCTAGTACAGTATAACCAGTTTAAATTAATAATCGATAAATTAATAACTTATTATAAATTAATAATGTCTCCGGTCCCGATTTGGGCCACTGTAAAAAAATGAGCAAATTAAATAAAATATTAAAGATAATAATTTTTTAGAACCAAACTACATAAATACATGTATTTTTAACTCTATAAATTAATAATTTTAAAAATACAATTCATCTAGAAATTTTAAATATAGCTAGGATAATCTAGAAAAATATGAATATATAGGTGTTTATTTATTCTTGAAGTTCAAATATAATAGAAGTTCATCTTGAATTTTCCTCGTTGCACTCAAAGTCTCATGTGTTGTCTTCTCGAATTGCATCAAGTATTTTTGAAGAGTCGATGCGGTTTTAAGTGCTTCCTTTCGCGTGACTGGTTCCAAAGGTGTTGAATCGTCATCTCCTTCATCCTCAATTGAATCCCCAATGACATCAACCACAATTTCTTCTAACGTTGGTGCCGCGATACATTAATCATTTTTACCAGGATACTCCAACAAATGACTTACATCCAACTTGTTACAATAAGTCATACCATTAATCATATCGTATGAACTTGAAATGTTTGGAAGATACAATGAACGTACATCGTAAGAAAACCCTCTTTAAATTAATAATTTTTAATTTATTGATAATTAATAACTACTATAAATTAATAATTTTCCAGTCTCGACTATATTAATTTGTAGAGTTTATACTGTACTAAATTTCTCATTCATTTATTAAGTGTTTTCTCGTTCTATTATTGTAAAAGAGTTGGACATTAATGTTCTTTTTTCAAATAACATATAAGGATGTGTCACCCGTCCGACCCCGTTTCCGCATGGGTATTAACCAAAGGAAACATTAGACACCTCTCAAAAATATTTACAAACCATAAATAAGGAGCCAGCAATAAGGAGGCAGCCATTGTATCTAGTAGGGGTGGGAAAACGGTTGCGGTTTTGCGGTTAAACCGCAACCGCACCGAATAAGAGCGGTTTGTGGTTAACCGCAAACCGTTTAAAAGGGTCTTTATTCGGTAACAGTTAGTGAAATTGGCTCTTTTGCGGTTTGTGGACTAACCGCACACCGCACCGAATAAGTAACTCCACCGAATAACTAACCGCGTAAGAGTATACCCAACCCATCCAACAACCCAAAATGAATTTTCCATGTGCATTTTCCGTATTAGAACTTAATGTGGATGGTTTCTTTTGGATGTTTAAAACTTAATTCTGTTTCTGACTTTTTCAGGTGCATTTTCCTTGTTTTAGTGTTAATTTATCAAGTGCATGTTGCTGGATTTTACAAGTTAATTCGGTTTTTGTTGCGGTTTTATTTCATTTCGCGGTTTTTTACACCGTTTAACTCTTAATCGCGGTGTGCGGTTTAAAGTGCAGTTAACCGCAATTAACCGCTAACCGTGATTTGCGGTTAGTGGTTAACCGCAAACCGTTTGCATTGCGGTAACGGTGGGTGGTTTTCCCCTTGTGCGGTGGCGGTTAACCGCGCTTATTCGGTGCAGTTAACCGCAACCGCACCGTTTCCCACCCCTAGTATCTAGGGTTTGACAAAATTCGATGACTTTGATGTGGGCGAATTGGGCAATGGACCTTTCCTCTGTGAGATTTTCTCTAACTCCAATCCCTAATTTCTAATTCGAAAATTCATTTAATATAAAATAATAATAACTAACGATTATGATTGATCAAAATATATCGAAGTGCAAATAACAGTGTGAACGCAGGCGTATAGCGTATGTACGTCAGGCATACGCTAGCATGTGGAGGCTTCTATCGTACCTTGAGTAAAATTAAAAGTATAGTTTACCTTGAGTAAGAAAATGATATATAAACCTTGAATTGACCAAATTTTAGGGTGTGATACTATACCCTAACCCTTGATAAGTGAACCCTGGGTCTTAGTTATCTAAATCATAGACCTTAAACCACAAAAAGATGCATGTAAATTGTTGCTTATATTTTTAAAAATCATGACCGTTGATTTTTGTTTCTAATCAAATTGATCTTAATGTATAAGATTTATTGAATTAGGACCCAAATTATAATCTTGAAGGATGAAGGTATAATATCAAGGTCTATATATCATTTTCTTACTCAAGATATACTATTCTTTTGAGTGTACTCAAAATAGAAGTCATTATCTGTCTATCTATCTATCTATACAATAAATAAAAGGAAAATGGGGAAAGTTGGACCCCATTTCAAATTTCATGCATCTAGAGTGAAAGTAGGAAGTGTAGTTTCATCTTCACAGTCACAGTCATTTTTTTATTTTGAGTCATTTTTTATTTACATGAAAAAATGCATCAGGAACGGGATTCGAACCATGTTCTCTTCAAACAAAGACAAGAAACATAACCAATTACACTAAACAAATTTAATTGATCTTTTTAAATTAAAAACATACAAGAAGTTTAAATCTGAAAAATCATAGGACTTTTCCGCCACGGTTAGCTAATCCACTAACTCTCTGATATTTTTTTTTTGTATTTGATACTTCTAATTTCATTTTTTTTATTATAATTTGAGTTTAATAATTACTTTAAAATTTATCTTATAAAATGAGGATAATTTTAAATTGCAACCCAAATGTCATTGGTTTAAATATTGCATATAAAATTGCACTCATTTTTTCTGTTGAATCGAATTGCACACTTGACTGTGCAGAAGCGCCTTTTTTCTGTTGAATCGAATTGCACACTTGACTGTGCAGAAGCGATGTAAAATTATTAACATATAAAATTGCACTCTTTTTTGTACAAATAAGTTTTTAGTGAATATGTGGCACATGAGTCTTTAAGAGAGGGATACATATGGAAATGTTGATTTGCCAAACGCGGATAGAAAAAACTCTACTCATGTAAAAGGGTCCAAATAGTGCCCCGACCCACTAATCATTCAACTATCGCCGTCTCTCCAAATTTCTCATCAGACTCAGCAACCGGCTAACCTCCTCCACCTCTATTGTTACGTCAGAGCTATTTTTGGAGGGGTAAATATGGAAAGATTGAGTGTTGTTGGTTTGACGCATGCGGATGGTTAAGGCGCTACTAATGTAAACAGGCTCAATTCCACTAAACGTTCAACCACCGCGCTTACTTCCGCTACACCTAATATAATAGTGAAATGGGAAAGACATTTTCCCATCACAAAATCCCTGCATTAATAGCGAAAGTAGAAAGGGAAGATTCGTCTTCATAATAATTTATTATTTTCTTATTTACAAGAAAAAATACAACATTGATGGTTTTTAAACTGTGGTCTCTTTGAAGAAACATAACCAGTTACACTAAAGAAATTAATCTTTTTAAATTAAAAACATACAAGAAGCATAAATCTGAAGAAGAAAGCTCTGATGCTTTTCTCGGAAGCTTCTCGGTAGCTCTCCATGGCTATCACCGACGACCGTGCTAACCTTCGTATACATTGGAACAAGGACCCACCCGACTCTTCACCGAGCTCATCCACAGTCCAGCAGAGCAAAAAGCAAAATCCGATTCATTATGTTGGCTTCTCTGGCCAAGAATCAGTGATCCTAGATCTAAACTGAACGACGCCAACAGTTGAGGACGAAAAAAGAAATAATGAAACCCCTGTGGGGGCGAAGCTTACCTATAGTGACTCCGTGTCAGGCCGGCGTCCACAGTCTATGGAACCGAATGGAAGTGACTTGATGTTCGATGAGTTAGATATTGAGGATGAAGAAGATGACTCAGACTTCCTTACGATTCGAGTGCGAAAGGCGACGGTGAATAGGATTCGAGATCGATGGGGTAAAGCTCTCATTTGTAAGATCCTCGGTAGACAGTTTTCCTTCCCACATCCGGAGAAAAAGATTCAACACCTATGTGCGAAAATCAGCAATGTGGGTGTGGCGGACTTCGAGAATGGATTCTTCACCGTCAGGTTCATATCCCAGCAAGATTACGGCAGAGCCTTGTTCGGTGGCCCTTGGCTCTTTGGCGACCACTATAACCTTACGACAAAGTGGAGGCTGGATTTTGATCCAGACTACAATGTCATTGATCACGCTAAAGTGTGGATCCGCCTCCCACGACTTCCGATGGGGTTCTTTGATACAAAGATCTTGAATGACATATGGGTTGGCAGAGTTGGAAAAGTAATCAAAATTGGTTACAATACACTACATTGCACGAGAGGGAACTATGCACGGTTGTGCGTTGAAATTGATCTGAACAAGCGTCTTGTTCCCAAATACCACCTGAAGAGAAGAGTTTGCCGCATCGAATATGAAGGTCTACGCTTGGTATGCTTTACTTGTGGTCGATATGGTCATACTCAGGAGACATGTG